CCCGCACCCCGCGGGCCCAGCCGCAGCCGCCCGGGGCTGAGCTCCCCTCCCGTCCCCCAGGTCTCCTACGACGTGAACGGCTTTTGCGAGCGCAACCGGGACGTGCTCTTCACCGACTTGATCGAGCTCATGCAGAGCAGCGAATAGTGAGTCCTGGCAGCGCTGCGGTCCCGGGGGCCACCCCAAAAGGGCTGGGGCAAAAGGGCAGCAGCCTCAACACCCACACCGTAAAGCTTTGCTGGGCCTGCCTCTGCTAGAGCCACAGCTTGGGGTGCGCAGCATCCTGCATCGCCCCACGGGCACCGCCGGCATCCCCCAGGGGCTGCAGGGCTGGGCAGAGGGGTGCTCACCCACCCCCACCGATCCTGCTTGGCCTGGGGGTGGTGAGGGGGGAATGGGCTCAGAGGCAGCGCAGGATTTCCCAGCAGCAGAAAGCAGAGCTGGAGCTGGTTCCAGCTCAGCACGGGCTGAGCTTGGGGAGCCCGGCAGCTCTCACCTGGGGACCGTCACCTGCCTTTCAGCGGTTTCATCCGGATGCTTTTCCCAGAAAAGCTTGATTCTGACAAAAAGGGACGACCGACTACCGCAGGCTCCAAAATCAAGGTACATCCCAGAGGCTGCAGGACAGTAGCTGCCTCCGGAGCAGTGGCAGGGTGATGGGCTCCCATCAACACCTTTAATGCTACAGAGGTTGATCCTTGCAACAGAAACAGGCTAACGACCTGGTGAACACGCTAATGAAGTGCACGCCACACTACATCCGCTGCATCAAGCCCAACGAGACCAAGAAACCTCGGGATTGGGAGGAGAGCAGGTAACACAGGCATCTCGCGATGTATCAGGGAGCTCGCAGAGTCCAGGGAAAGGGACCTGGCCGTGGAGATGTGGCCAGGACAGACTTTCCTCCAAAAACTGCACCCATGGGCTGGTTCTTCTGTGCTGCCCACAGACCTGGGGGGGCACGAGGCGAGTGCTGAGGAGCGTGCAGGGACACATGCATCAGCCAGAGGCTCCATCTGAGCCCCAAGAAGCTCTCACACACGCACAGCCGTGGGCATCCCTGTGCAAAGCAGCGGCTGACGGGCCCAACCAAGGTCCCTCACCGACCTGCCATCCCACACCGAGCGTGTCCCTCCCGGTTCCACAGGGTGAAGCACCAAGTCGAGTACCTGGGGCTGAAGGAGAACATCCGGGTGCGCCGGGC